CTCCCATCCCAGCCTGATGCACGTCGTGCTGCCGTGCCACACCATGGGTCGGGCACAGCGTATCTTCAGCAGGCAAAAGACGTCAAATTCCATTTCTAGTTTAGATTTCCTTTTGATTATTTAATTTTGTAAATAATTTTTAAAAAAGTTAGACACCTTGTTTCATACACATTTTTTTCCCTTGGATTTTTTTCAACAGCAGTCAAAAGTGCCCCTGCTGAGATCTGTAACGCTGTAGCATGTCGCATTTCACAGCAGAGTATTTGATGTCTCTTTCAAATGCTTCAGATCGTGGAGGTTACAATTTCTGCTGACATTGGCAGTTGATGTTAGAAATTCTCCAAGGCTGCCAGTTATTCCAGCAGGGCTCTGAAGCGCTGGGAAAGCACTTCCAAATGTTGCTGTTAAAGGTTATAAAAAAGTACTGGAAAAATCAGCACACCTCTGCCAACCCCAACCAGACTTCCATCTTGCCTTACAACCTCCACCCTTGCTAAGACTTAGCCCTCGTCAAAGCCCTCCCCTGACTACAGAAAACATCTAATCGGTTTGAGGCTTATCAAAGGCTGTCTAAGACTTATTATTATGAGGCTTTTCTGACTGCAGTAGGTTTGAAATCAGCATTGGTCTTCGCATAGAAGTATCCAAGTGTCAGGAAAAGAGCTGACAGTCAAGTATTGGAGAAGATAATAATGAGCATGGGAATAATGAGCTATCAGCAACTGTCTTGAAAGGTCAGAATCCCACTGCAGTTCTCTTCTCCCTCAGTCCCCGAGCTGGACCGAGGGCTCGTGAACCCATCACAACCAGTCTGGATGCATCCCCTAAAGCAAAAGTTTCCCCTCCATGGCCTGAGGAACACACAAACCCATCAGATGATGCAAAGGCTCCACTAGGTATGGCTGGGCACAGAGCCTGCAGAACCCACCTAGCTAGAACAAAGGGTTAAGAGGAACATTGCTTTCTGTGGCAAGATGCTGTCCATGTCTCCAGCTGAAACCACATGCTGTGGACTCAATGCCCATACAGAGAAAAGGCACAAAGGACCAGCAATGCCTCATTTTTCCTGGGTTTGATCTCTGCCCTGAGGATTCAGCCCACATGGATTCACAGCCTCACAACGGCACTGAGTCAGCGAGCCATGACAGCCTTGCTCTGAGAACACACGACAGAGGGACTGCCGGGAGATCAGAACGTGATCCTCAACTCCTGCTGACACAACAGGAACCTTTTAACGTGAAAAGCTGCAAGCTGAGCTGGTGGAAGCTGATGTCTAACCAGCCATGGCTGCCCAGAAGTGAGGCAAACAGCAGGCAGAGGAACAGAAATGGCTTGAGCCTGCCTTGGGCACGGCGCAGGTTAGTGTGTGCTGTATAAAACAGTGCAAAGGCTGGGACAGCTTCACACTGCTGTGAGATGGAGACAGGAGCACCTCTGTCTGGGGACTCCATGCAGGACAGCTGTGCAGTCCTTCAGGTCACTCCAGGGACTGACAACCCCCCCCAACATGGATCTGCCTGCTTTCCCCACTCCACCAACTGAGCACCAACAAATTTGTTGCAGGCATGGCTGTAACTGGAAGCAGCGGTTGCGCTGGAAAACGCAGCTCTTTGGTATGAGGCTCCTTTAAGGGAGTTGCAGGAAGGAATTAAAAAAAAAAAAAAAAGTGGAGTGGTTACCAAAGCTGCTAACCACAGTGCCAGGGAGCCTCAGAGGGCACAGGACAGCCCAGTGTCACATGCCTAACGCATCCTGTCTCCAGACTTCCTCGCCTGCGATGTACGTGGCTCGCACATACAGCTCATCATTCATCATCAGGAAATCTGCATCGGACAAGAGAGAAAGGAAGCAGCTGTCAAGAGAAACAGAGCAGCTCAAGCTGGCTGCGAAGAGCTGGGCCCAGTGGGAAAGAGCTCCTCCCCACCCCAGAAATGGCAGCAGGACGGCAGTGCGGTGCCATCCTTGCTGTGGCAGCTCTGCTCCGTGCTTGGCTGAGATGTGGGGTCTCTCCAAAGGGCTTGCAGACCACCACCAGCATCCAAGGGAAAAGCCACTGGAGCAAAAGCCCAGAGTGAATCCCAGGCAGAGTGAGTCTCCCTGCAGCTCCTACTGAAGCAGGAGATGAAGATGCATTTGCAGCAGCCTCTTCTTTGCTCCAGCACCTGGGAGCCCTCACACCATTGTCCCCATACCAGTTCCTGCTGTCCCCATACCGGTACCTGCATCGGAGTCATAATTGAGCGTCCCCTTTTTGTGTTCGATCCCCAGGAGCTGGGCGGGATGCAGAGATGCTGCCTCCAACGCAGTCTCTACTGAGCACCCTTGGACAGAGAAGGAGGGAGACATTAGGGCAGCAAACACCCCTGTTGCCAGAGCAGCCAAACCCCCCTGGCTAAGGCAACTGTCAGCCTGGCAGGGACCTGAGCTGGAACACCCTCGCCACAGCTAGGTGGAGCTGGGGAGGGGAAACATCCCTACGGGGAGACAGCGGGAAGAGGAGAACTGAATACCTAAGGTGTGGGGAGGGAAAAATCATTCGCCTTTGTGAGAAAGCAGCAGGAGAGTTCACCTCTCATTAGTGCCATGGGTTAAAATGAAACCTCCCCTCAAAAAGGTGCTCAGCTGAGGCCAGTGCTGCTGATCCCAGCCCTTCTCATCATGTCTCCGGTGAGAGGGAACGTTCCCTGGTGGAGCAGACACAGCTGGCAAAAGCAAGACCTCTTCCCCTCTCAACAGAGGGTGCAACAGCTTGTGGACAAGGCTCACTTACCCGTGGCTTCTTGGAAGTGCCGCACACATGTGTCCATGGTCGCCACACTACCGCTCAGGGTCTTTGTGCCTGGGAGAGGAACAAGATGGCACTGAGCAGGTCCCACAACTCATAGCAAGAAGCGACGCGGTGGGAAAGCACAGCGTGACCAGCACGGGCAAAAATCTTGGGTTGCACGACGAGCAAGATGAAGGGCCCACAGCCATCGCTGCCAAGTGACAGAACGAGGCAAGAGAGAGCCCGTGCTGGCAGCACAGGTAGAGGTACTGGGATGCCACCCCGCAGCTCCAGCTGGAGACCAGCTGGACTGGGTGAAACTAGCTCACAATGCAGGCACCTGCTGCCAGAGACAGAGGAAGGAAACTGAGAAAGGAACGATCCTTCTCTGAAATACCTTCCCAGTCTCCAGCTGCTTCCAGCTTAGGGAACTGTTAGCAAGAAGTGGTAGTGTTACAGTAAAGCCAAGGGACAATAAATATCTGTAGGATTTCTCTCTCCTTTCTGACCCTGCTGGGACCCCTGGCATCCACGACACTGGGCAAGGAGGCGTTCAAAGGCGTTGCAGGCAGCTACAAATGGACAGATTCCTCCTCGTTTCATGCAGATGGGGCACTTCCCCTCTCTACAAAGTGCCTCATTCTCCCCAGGGCCAAGTCACTGCAGAGCCATCAGGCACCAAAAGCCAAAAGGGTGGCACAAGCGCTGCCTCACACCAACAGGCATGGCAAGGTGTGCTGAGCTCTCCAGGAATGGGCACGAGTGGCAGCGCTGTCCCCAGCTTTTTAGCAAGAGGCAGTTACCTGCAATGTAGGTGTTCAGCCCATCGATCTCCACCACCTGCTGACCCAGCGTGTGCCGACCCGGGGCCAGCCCCATGCCAGCGATCGCATCCGTCACCAGCACCAGGCCTGAGGAAGGCAAAGAAAAAGGCGGCGTTAGCTTTGCCGCTGATCTTGCTGCAGCTCCAAGCACTGCGCCACACCGGCCCTCCTGGAGAGGGGCCGAAGTGTCTCTTGGCACATCCAATCCAAGCAAGAGGGCTGGCAGGTCAGCAGACGTGGCTGTGACCTCTTCCAGGCCCCGAGGGGAGCATGCCACAGCACTTGCACAAGTGGGAGATGGCACAGCACTCGGGAAGGCTGCTGACACTGCATGGGCCTGGCACGGCTCACCTTTGGGGTGGGCTCGGTGGGCGATTCGCAGGGCAGCAGGGTTGGTGTGGATGCCATCAGAGATCATGCCGTAGAAGACTCTCCGCCCAGCGGGAATCTTGTCACTCGTCAGCAGTCCCACGATCCCAGGGTCGCGATGGTGGAACTGCCCGAGGGGAGAGAGGATAAGCTGTGGAGCACCACCAGGACGCGTGGGCTGAGACCCTTCCAGTCAGGGGACGCAGCTAGCATCTCTATCACACAGCGCCTCGCAGCTTGGCACTCTGTCCTTTACCAGACAGATCTGTGCGTTTCCTCGAATTTCAAGAGTCTGCTACAGCCTTGACCCCCTTTTAGATAAGCCAGAGGTTTGGTGCTGAAACCTCATTGCAAGGCCTGGTACAAAAGAAGCTGGGGAGAGTATGCATCTGTGGGGAGGAGGAGAGAAAGCACCAAAAGCAGTATCAGCGCAGGGCAAGTGCCCTCGGCTACTCACTGGCAACATGGCATTGAAGAGGTGAGTGATGAAGGTAGCGCCGTGCTGCACAGCCACCTCAGCCTGGGAGAGATTAGCCACTGAGTGACCTGGGAACAAAGACC